CATCTTCGTATTGGTTTACAAAAAATAAGCTTTCCCTTCAACGGTTGTTTTCCCTTTTATAYTTTATAGTATATTAACACTCATTTCTATAACCTTCAAGAATCAATGGAATTCTCTTGAGTATTGTTTATTAGTTCAGAACGATGAAGCATCAAGGATCACACCATTCAAGGCCAGTCAGGGCTAGCTGGCACTGTACTTGATAATAGTAGATATCAGTTTTCTTTAAAGAGTATTCATTGGTGATAGGATCATTGGTAAGGTATCTGACATTGCCAAAGTCAGTCTCCCTCTCCTTTACAACCTTGATTTCCAACAGCCCAAAAGGATTGGAGCCATTCTGAACTGCCTCTAGGTCATACACCTTACGGTCGGGGCTGCAACCCAGCCATGGACATTTAGGATGGATGATTAGACCGGATGGAAATAAAGTAACTGATCCACCCTTCAAGTTGTTAGCATAGGTCATTGCAGCTGTTGGTTCCATTTCAATTCCCCTTCTCATAGGTGCAGTTACAACATGGCGAGATGGATTGAGCTGCTTTACCAAGTTTTCAAAATCTCTTACTCTTTTTGCAACAATTCCAAACTTACTGGCGGTAATGCGTTTGCTTCTCAACACGTGCCACAGATTGTTTGCACTTTGAGTCATTGTCTTCTCCTGGATGTCAAGTGATGCCTCTGTGCTTACCCTCAGTGCATCCAAGGAAGCTTGCTGCTGTTGAGTCAGGCAACTTGAGAAATTGTTCTCAAATCTGCTTTCAGCAGAATCCAAAGGTAGCTTTGGAAAGTTAGTGCAGCTAAAATCATTTATGACATAGTCCTGGGACAGTTTTTGTTGATAGGAAATAATTGAGCCTTTGGGAACTTTACCAAATTTACATTGCACAAATGAAATGCTTGCAAGGTTCTCTGCACTTGGGAGTATACTAGCTATCAGTGGTTTAGTTTCGAAGTTATCAAAGTCTTCTTTTGTCATTCTGTAAACCTCTGATGGAGAGTAAAGAGTGCTCTTTATGAATTTGCTATAATTTGCACCTATTTTTGGTTTTTTGACCAAGATGTCTTGGATTTCTTTCTGCTCAATCTTTTTACCTCTTGGAATACTCCATCTTTGGGGCATGCTAGTACATGTTAAGGAGTCAGGGACAGAGCGGAGACCAAGCTGTTTGCAGTGGGCAATGTAGTAAAGAAGACCAACTACATGATGGCAGTATCCACCTATGCCAGCTACACATGAGCATCTCCCAGAAGCTGAGCAGTCAGTCAACTTGATTTTAGCTTGGAGTATATGTGGAGGCTCGTTCTTTTTCATTGAGCGGTAGCATCGGGCATTTATTACCGCAGAATCCAAATCATAGGCAACTATTAACAAAAGAACAAAACGAATACAATAAGAGAGTGAACTCAAGAAGCTATATCAGAGGTATACAATAATTCAAACAACCAATGGGTAATTTACCTTTAATATCATGTAAATATCCA